ATAACAAAGAATGAGGGAATTAACCACTTATGAACCATATAACTTTGGAGTCCCATCCTCAGATTTGATACTTCCTAAGAGCACTTACCTCCCTTCTTTATATTTCATGCTTGCCTTATTGTTATTACTTGGTTTACAGACATTCAAAAGCAGGCAGCATGCTTCACATAAATGTGTAAAAGTTTCTCACTGTCCTCCAAACATTTTATAGAAGGTATGGTGCAAGGCAGGGAACTTAGAATCTACTGCTACTACTACTTCTATAATAATATTATTATATAATATTTTATTGTTTATATTATATAATACTTTATTTGATTTATTATATAATAAATAACAGTATATTATTATATGATAGTAATACCATATTATTATTATAGTCGTATTACTGGATATAGCTGCTATATGTATAATATAGATAATAATATAGTATTATTATTATAGTAGGAGTAGCAGTAGTAGTGGCACTGTAGTAGAAGTAATGTTCAGTGTACAGTCTGGGGACTGTTCAGTTAAGACTGTGTGATCCCAAAATAAAACTATGACAAAAGTTTCCTTGTCCCATTAGATAGATAATGCAACTCAGACATAGCAAGGTGAAGCAACTCATTCAAGGTCATAGAGCTAGTAGTGATACAACCAAGTTTCAAAGCAAAATAGACTTACTGAAAAATATGTATTACTATTCATGAGTGGCTCCAGGAACCAACTCATTTACATGGTAAACATGAATCAAACACATTTGTCAAGCATTGCCACAGATGAGAAATGCAGAACTCACTAGATAAACAATAAGCAGATAAGAACAACTGCAATTGAATAGGATTTGTGCTATAAAAGAAATCTAGTGAAAACAACCTGTGAACACACAAGGAGTCTTAACTCCAGCAGGGTCTGGGAAGGGAAGTTAGGAAAAGCCCTGGAGAGGAAATCTTGGCATTAATTCTAGATGAATATGTTTTAGAGTTCTGGAAAAGTGGGCTTTGGCAAGAGCAATATGTAGAATTTCTCTGTATTGTTAACATCTAAAAAAAATACTACTGCCTAGTAATTTTACAGAAATTTTTATTCTTGCTATTAATAAGGGTAGCATGAAGTCTTAAATTTAAGTGATATCCCACTTACTACAGTAATGAAAATATTTACTATAGTCCTGAAAATATTTTGGTTCCTACTTCAATTAGCTTGAGCTGCCGTAACAAAGTGTCATTGGCCGAGGGGCTTCAACAACAGAAATTCATTTTCTTGTAATTCTGGAGACTAGAAGTAGAAGATCAAGGTGCCAGCATGGTCAGTTCTGAGTGATAGCTGTCCCCCTGGCTTGTAGGTGGCCTTCTCCTTGCTGTATTCTCATGTGGCCAAGGAAGGGAACAAGCTCTCTGGTTCCTATTTTTGTCAGGCACCAATCCCATCGTAATTGTCCCACGCTCATAACCTCATCTACACTCAGTTATCTCCCAAAGACCCGTCTCCAAATACCATCACACCAAGTGTGACAAAGTCAACATATGAATTTTGAGGGGGACACAATTCAGTCCCAGGCAATGGCTTGAGAAATGGAAGCTAAGAATCAGCTGTACTGTTGGGGTTTTTTGCCCCTAGCCTGCTTCTAATGTCCAAATCTGGCAACCTCAGAAATAAAATAGGTGACTTTTCCAAAGCAGTTAGATGAACATTCAGCAAAGATGCTTTTTTTGTTGTGATGCATGATTTCCCCCTTTTTCAGAATTTGATGATTAAACCTGTGAGCTGTGATTCACCACCTCAACATTAGGTGAAAGAAACTGTTTAATAAGTGTTTGTTAAATTCTTACTGTAGGTTACACACTAGAGTTACCACACTAAACAAGAAAAAGTTTTTCCTTCAAATCACCTAAAATGTTGAAGAAGGTCCAGACAAACAAGAATTTAATAGTACAAGATGGTCAGTATGCGGGGCACATTGGCAGAATACTCAGTTTAAAGGATATGAGGATATTCTTAACCATACTATGACTTGAAAGGTAGAAGAAGAGAGAAAGAAAAAAGGTAGAGAAAATACTATGCTCCTTTTTTGTGGGGGTGACAAACAAAATAATCAGAACTATAGAAACATCTATACATAGAAATATAGAGACATCTATCACAGTTGGCTGGTTTATCAATATCCAATTATAAAGTCACCTAGTTGTCTCCCATATTCAGTTGGCTCTTCTAGTATAGATTAGTCTACTTACACAAAAAAACTTAATGCACATCACCAAACAGATCCTGTGAATGTCCAAATATATGCTACCAGATCAACTAAAATTATACCAAATTTTAGGTTTTTATATGTACATTGTGACTCTTAACTTATGTTATATATAAATCATATCTTAATTATAGATATGGAATCTTTTTGTTTAGTAGCCTAAATTCTTTGGTAATAATTAAGGTGCTCATTAGGAATGAATCAGTGTTCCTAACTAGATTCCATTTTCTGAGATGTCATTCTGAACAAATAACATGTAAATCATTAAATTAAATTAAATCATTTAATTAAAATCATTTAATCTTTGGAAGTTCATTTCTTGTGTTATTAAAAGCTAGAATATACAATTTCTAGGGTCCCCCCACTTGAAATTCTATGATACATTTATGACTCAATTTTAAGGATGACATCTAATGGGTTATTTGTGAAACAGAAAATACAAGATCTTTAAAATATTCAATATTTTATACACTATTACAAATGGTTTAGGTTACTTTTTTTGAAAAACACAGTTTAAACTATACATTCCTTCAAATAATACAGGCTGATGTAACAAATAAACTCCAAAATGTAAATGAGTCAAACACAATGGGAATTTGTTTCTCAATAATATAAAATCAAAAATAAATTCTTATAGTCCACTGACTAAGAAGTAATTTGACCACATCTAACTGCAAGGCATCCTGGGAAATACAGTCAAGCTGTGTACCCAGAAACAGAGGATAATGGCTTTGGGGAACAACTAGCCAAGCTTTGTCATAAAACTGAATGTACAAAAGAGAGAATGTAATTCTTGGGGAATAGACCAAAGCTATTCCTAGCTTCCCCAAATTATGCCTTGGCAACTTCTCTTGTTGGGCCCACTGGCTTGTATATGTCTTTTAATCATGATAGGGCTCTGTCTGTTTCGTTGTTTTCAAAAATTTCTTGCAGGAACACATGAGGGCATTTACCAACCAGTTACGGGACTCGTCATGGTGGGGTATCAGCCACTGCGGCCGAGGGAAGAAGTCCCCACCTACCGCTGCCCCCACCAGATCCAGGTTTAGCCCCAACTTTCGTAACTTTGTCAGCTTAAAGATGCTCCAGAAGAAAAGACCTTCACCCAACAACCATAAAACAAAAGCCTGGAATGTTAGCTTTCCCTCGCCTTAAGGTGGCCCTAACTAGTGATGACACAAGCCCCTCCTATTGTTGTCACCAGCTCCCCAATCCCTAGCCACTACATCACTTGATCCCACCCCAGCTCCTATAGCCCCACCCCAGTCCTATAAGAGCTCCCTGTCTCAGCTCTCAGCCATATTGCTCTCTCTCCTTTGTTCCCAGACAGTACAGAAGACCCTCCCCATGATAAAGGCCTGTTATGTTTAAAAAAAAAACAACTTGAATGCACACATGAGTGTGTGTGTGTGTGTACACATATGATCATAGATGTATGGTTCAATTTTCATTTTTAATGTCATTAGAATTCCAACAGATAATTCCAAAGGATGTGGTCATATAGTTCAGAGAGGAAGATAAAATTAGCAGGTATAGCTTGGTGTGGTGGCACACACCTGTAATCCACGCACTCACAAGATCACAAGTTTGAGTCAGCCTGGGTAACATAGCAAGTTCAAGGCCACTAGAGATTACATTTTTGTCTCAAAAAATAAAAATAAAAAACAGCAAAAAAAAATTAGCTTGATCTGATCATGACATACGGCATACATGTATTGAAATATCACATTATATCCCATAAATATATACAGTTAGTGTGTGTGTAAATTAAAAATAAAAATACATCTAAAAAAGGAAACTGTGGAATTGCAACTAAAATTATAATTATAGGGGCCGGGTATTTAGCTCAGCGGTTCGGCGGCCTGCCTTGCAAGCGCAAGGACCCGAGTTCGATCCCCAGTACCAAAAATAAATACATAAAATAAAATTATAATTATAAAAGCAGGGGCCCGCAGGCTTCTACAAACATAAACAAAAACTAAAAGGACCTGGGCGTGTGATACGCACCTATGGTCCCAGATCTGCAAGGGCTCAAGCAGGCAGGTGTTCAAGGCCAGCATGAACAAGAGAGTGACCCCCACCTCAAAAAAGTGGGCTGAAGCAGGTATAATTAATACTTGAAAAGTTAACCGTGTTTCCTATGGGGAGTGGAGTGAAACTAGAAATCATGGGAGAAAGAAGAGTTTTTAAATAAAAATTATACTTTTCCATACTGTCTTTTATCTTGTAGTATGATGATTTTAATAATTTTTTTAAATCTATGGTATATTACTTATGTATAAATTATATGTGCCTATGGAAATGTGTTTGAAGAGAAAATGGAAAAAATAAAACAGTTGATTTGTTCCAGTGGTGGAAGTTTTGTGCAGTTTTCCTATTCCCTTGATTTCTTTCATTATTGTAATGTTTTGTATAATTTAAGAATATAAAATCTAAAGAACAGCTGCCTTAAATACTTTTTGGAAGTAAATAAAGTATAAATAATACATTAATGCATGAAGGAGTAGGGTAGTATTGAATCAAGAAAAGTACTCATAAAATATTCAGGAGAATTCACATTTGTATGCATAAATGCAATCCTCACAAGACAGCCTGAACAAGAAGCATCAGATCTCAAACAAAGCGAGTCCCTCAGCAAGGCGATCACAGAACACGTACTAGAAGACTCTGATCGTGGTCTAAAAGAAACTTAAGAATAGGATTGAATGAGGTCCTCTTTAAACTCTGGCCAACTGAGAAAATAATCTTTGGCTGTGCTCCTTCTCAGGAGAGGATAAAGTCCTCCGTCTGTGGCACCCCTACATCAGCACCAAGCCTGTGGGAAAACTGGTAGGACACATGTTCAGCATCACAGAAATTGTGACCAATGAAAAAGATCAGCACGTCATCAGTCTTTCCTCGGCAAAGGTAACCGCGACAACAACCAGAAAAATGAAATAACTTTTTCTTACAATTAATCATTGGAAGACTTAGGAGTACATATAATTTTTAGCTGAAATAACTGTTAGTCACTAAGAAAAATGTTGTTAGAATGGAGGACATGATGAGCTTTTGTTCTCTGTTTCTATTGATTCTATCTTATAAGAGAGGTTGTATTGAAAGACAAGTACATTGGGGATAAATGCAGCATTATCCCCAGGAGTGAAACACAAGAGGCTTCCCATTATAGATGAGAACATCATCATTAGAGACAGAGAAAAACAAGAATTTCTGTCATTGTTAAACAAAAGTGTTTTAAATGTTCTGGCCAGTGTAATACAACAAGAAAAATGAGTTATAAATATTAGAAATGAGGAGACTGAATTACTAGATTTGCAAATAATGTGATTGCTTGAAACTTTCAATAAAATCATCTTAACATTTTAGCAAAGATAAGTGCAATAAGGTGACTGGTTATAACAATTTATAAATATAGTAACTAGGTAGGGAAAATGGCCAAAGAAATAGCATTCACAATTGCAAAATACATGAAATATCTAAGAATAGCCTTAAGAAGTAATATTTACTATTAATGTCAAGGTAACTATGAAGTTTAACTAAGGTGCTTTCATTTAAGAGCATGAATAGAGAGACACACTGTACTCATCTATGGGACTATTGTATTGTAAAAGATACTCTTCATAAAATTTATATATTTAATACGATACAAGATTATTTAAGTATCAGTTTATTGAGTTTAAATTTAATGTAAGGATATTGATATACAAGAATATCATAGAAACTTTGGAAGTTTAATTACAAGCTATCAGATATTAAATTATAAAGCCACAATAAATAAAGTAGAGCAGAATATTCATTCCTATGAAACAAAAGAGGTAATGAGGGAATTAGTAAATATGTGTAGGAATTTTGTATAAATAAAAGTAGCCTTTCAAATCTGTGAACAAAGTGATTTATTCAGTAAATATTTGAAAATCTAAGCATATGTATAGCTTATGTATATGGAAGACAGGTAGTCAGATCCTCGCTTCATAAAATTTGCAACAAAATACATTCCACGTGAGTTAAATATAAGATCGTCAAAATTATAGACTTTTCTGGAGAAAATATAGGAGACTATTCATACAGCTTTAAAGTAATTCCTAAGGATAGCCCCTATGGTTGTTTGGAAAATGAATAGAACTACACAAACATTACAATTTTCTGTAAACTACAGTTGCTATCATTTATCAAATGTTTACCAAGTGTTAGGCACTTGCTGAGTATTTTATATACCCAATTTGTTTGATACTAAGAATAATAGCCTGATAAAGTTATGATCACAGTTTTATACCTGACAAGATAAATGAGATCTAAGTAATTTGCATAAGGCTACAGGCAGCTTAGTGGCTGGGGTGTCGCCAATCCTTATCTGCTCCCATCTCAGACTACCTCTGCCGTACTCATTAACAAGGCTAAAGGCAGAAACAGAGACAGAATAATGCCCTAAACAAAACGCTGGCAAGTGGGTAGGAAGCAAAAGGCAGGAGGGGAGGTGGAACGGGGAGAGGTTTAAAAATCCAGGCATGCAGATCTTTTGTGAAAGGGAAGGGGACCTAGAGACGCAGGGAGAGAGAAGGAGGGGAGAGGAAGGGGTTGAAAAGAATTAAGATGTGTTACGTCCAGTGGGCACACTACTCCCCGATGCGGAATGTAATCATTATATGGCAAATGTGTAAAAATTAAAAAATGAAGAAAAAACAAACAAACTGGCATGTTTACACAGTGCTGGGTAGGGGTAAAAAGGAACAATGAAAGGACAAAAGAAACTCAAGAGTTTCTTAATATTTTGATTGTTAAAACAAAAAAGTTGTATGTCATTGTGGCTCAATGTGTACAGTGGAAAGACAATTATATTTAAAAAGCAGGGAGAGGAAAGGAATGCAAATGAAAATACGATTCCTAGACTTCATTCTACATTGTAAAAAAACAGTCATGTAAATGGTGCACAGATTATGAAAGAAGAAATGCAGAGAACAGCAGCCCCCGTATCCTCTTATCCTACAAGGTCCACAGGGGATGCCAAACACCAAGAGAGAACCAAACCTTGTATATACTGTTTGCTCCCATACGTATATACTGAGTAAAGTTTAATTTATAAATTTGGCCCAGTAAGAGATTAATAAATATAGCTATCAATAAAAATAGAATATTTATAACACTTTAATGAAATGACCAGCATCCCTATTCTTGGGCTTTGGAGTCGTTAGTAAACTAAGGATTACTGGGACATAAGCACCGCAGTGCCTTCACCCTTCACAGTGTTGAATGGTGTTCAATGTGGACACACTGTACCAAGGAATGAGTTACATCTGGGCAGGACAGAGGGTCAGTGGGACATTTCTTCATGGCGCTCAGAAAGGTGCATGATTTTACACTTATGAATTGTTTACTTCTGGAATTTTCCATTTAATATTTTCAGACCACAATAACCCATTTGAAACTAGGGGCAATGGGAACTGCAGAAAGCAAAACCACAGATAAGAGAGTGCACTGTGTTATCATTTCAACAGGGAAATAAAATGAGGCTCAAGATGCTTTGATTGCCCAAGTTCATCTTTCGTACATAAAGCGTGCCTATTTTTATGACCTACCAGTAATTCTAAGTCAGTGGAATCTTTAAAATAAAGAATTTCTTCTACTTTTCCCTCTTTTAAAAAGAGAATTGAAATTATCCAGAAGTCAACTAAAACAGAATTATAAGGTTTGTACAGCTATTTAAATTATGAAAACTAATAGGAAGTAAAAATTGATAAATTTTATGGTATATAGATTACATGCCAGTATTACTATTGAAAAAGAGAGGTGCTTAGTATGACATACTAATAAAGTAAAAATTCAAGAGAAAAGCTTTCTTTAGTAAGTTATGGTGTCTTCTTATATGTAATAAAAATAAAATATAGTTACTTAGTATTATATAAATTAATAGTGATATGAAAATATCTAAACAATGTATCTATCTGTGAAATATAATGCAACAGGATGTAATCAACCTATTAAAATATTTATTTATCTATGTTATATTATCAGAAATGAATAAGAGCAAGATATTTTGGTGGTTACCTGTGTAGCAAGATTGTGCTGGACTAAAAGTATTTTAGTCACATATTTGCTATGCAAATACTCATTGCTTTTGTATGACGAAACTTTTTAACTTTTAAAATGGTACTAGAAAGACTGAGGATTTTGAGACACTAAAACTAAAACATTATAAAGTGACACCAGAAGTCTCTAGAAAACTGAAAGATAAAATGCCTTTATAGCAAAAATTGAGGCCATTCATGCTCAGAGATGAAAAGACTGAAGAGATAACCTTTCCAATTTCTTTTTAAATATAATTCATGAGCTAAGGCAATATTCATTCAACCATTCCACCAGCTCTACGTGGGCAAATGACTTAATATTTTCCCATTTGGTTTCTTCCTTTGTAAAATGTCAGAGTGCTTAGCCCAGAGGGTTGTGATAAAGATAAAATTCTTGCTGTAAAGCATGCCACAATCTAGTCAGCTTTGCCTTTTATATCCGATTGGTTATTCAGCAAACACTTATTTCTTAAGTGTCTACTTAAAAGTCAGGTATTATTTTGAGTTCTAGAGATAGAAAATCCAACAAGCATTGTGAGGAAATTTAGATCCTTCTAGAGGAAGAGAGAAACAAGCACAGTAACAAATACATAAGAAAACAGTATGGTAAGGACTGGTAAAATTAGCACAGTGGTGTGAAGTGATTCAATAGCACCACTGAGGGGGAAACATCAGAGCAGAAGCCAGAATGGCCAGAGGAACCAGCTCCAAAGAGACCTGGGAAAGAGCAAGTGAGGCACAAAGCACAGGCCATGAAGCACCACAAGTCTGTTGAAGCCATCTTTGTCATCGTTATTGCTATCATCCAGTGCAGCAAAAGCAACAGATAGGCTTTATGTATGCAGCGGTCCTTTAATTTCTATAAAAGAGCTTTCATCACACTAAACTTTCATAACTCACAGTGTTTAGCTTTGTGCAAACTACGTGACTTCTTCTGAGCTCTTAGAGAGATTTTCATCCTGCCTTCTAGTTTTGCAGCATCTCTACAAGGGTATTATTTTCTCTTTGAGCTGCTAAAAGTGAATTCTTTCTAGGTGCTAAAAGTATACATCTAGTCACAGAGCTCCGGTGTTGAACAGCTATGCCACATTTATTGCTCCAGAAGAACTGACAAATGTTGAAAAATGAGGAGACAAATATAAACTTCACTTACTTTTCTTTCATTAGCAAAACCAATGGGCACAATGATTGGTGACCTTCTCTAGCACAGGTAGAGAAGGCTGAGTTTTCCCCCTATGACAGCAGAAATATAAATGGGTTGCTGATTTGCAACAGATTGCAAATGGGCATAGAAGTTGCTATTTTTCTTGAATTTTCACGTTAGAAGTGATATGTAGGAACCTGAGAAAAGGCAAAGCTGACTAGATTGTGGCATGCTTTACAGCAAGAAGCAGTCTTTATATTAGGTGCCAGGTAGATAAGGTCAGAGTAAACACAACATGTTGTCAGCCTGGCCTGCAGGTTGGCTGGGCTTTAGTTTATCCATGACCATATCTAAGATAGTCTCAAAGGTGAAGATTATGCTACTGCCTCACCTCAGCATGGCCAAGAAAATGATCTCCAGAATCAAGTCATCTAAATCTAAATCCTGGCTCTGAACATTACTAGTTGTGACCTTAGGTAAGTCCTAATGAGATTTCTGAGGAGGATAACGGTGGCTTCCTCATAAGGATTAAATGAGATAATGAGACAGGCATCACAAGGTAAGAAAGGAAACTACTCCACACCACCACAAGAAGCAATGATAACATCATGGAAAAACTCTGCAAAGAAATGAAAAGAAAGTCCAAATGCCATGTACCAAGCAGGAAGAAAAGATGCCCCTACGGAGAATTAGAATGCAAG